TTTAAAGGGATCTCAACTACAAATAGTAAAAGTCATTTTATTTATCTTTTGAGTTTTAAATTGTAAGTTACTTTATTATATAATAGTTATTGCATGTGCCTGAAGGCACATAGTAATTAAAAATGGTAAACAATAAACATATTTGTATTCATATATAAAATCAAATCACAAACATAGAGAAGAGATAAATAAATTTAAGTATCGATTTGTAGTAGGAGTGAAAAGTGGTGGGCGATAGTGGTGGTGGAAAGATACGATAATGATTGTGGTGGGTGGCAATGACCGTGGTGGCGGTGGTGGTTGTGGCAGTGGTGGCGGCAATTGTGGAGGTGGTGATGGCGACAACGACAGCGGTGGTGGTAGTAGAGGTAGTGGTGAGGTGGTTTCAAATACTATTTTTTTTTAAAGTATTTATGAGAAATAATTTCTAAAAGTACTTTTAAAAAGTCACTCTAAATACACTCTTAGACCCTATTTTTTCTATTAAATTTAAGGTATTAATATTAGCTGTTAGATTAATTTTAAAATAAAATTTAAATCAATTTCAACCGCGAATAACTTTTGTTTATATTTTAAAATTTGAATTGTAAGCTACTTTATTATATATATATATATTCAATCATATTATCTCAAATGTCATTAAAAAATTACATCTTCTTTAACTTTCCACTGTATATTCATTCATCCAATTAAACTGATATTTTTAATTAACGAGTAATTACAAATATTCGATGCTTACTTTGTACAGTAAANTGGGGGTGGTAGAGGTAGTGGTAGGGCGGTTTCAAACACTATTTTTTTTTAAAGTATTTATGAGAAATAATTTCTAAAAGTACTTTTAAAAAGTCACTCCAAACACACCCTTAGGGCCTTATTTTTCTTATTAAATTTAGGGTGTTAATGTTAGCCGTTAGATTAACTTTAAAGTAAAATTTAAAGGGATCTCAACTACAAATAGTAAAAGTCATTTTATTTATCTTTTGAGTTTTAAATTGTAAGTTACTTTATTATATAATAGTTATTGCATGTGCCTGAAGGCACATAGTAATTAAAAATGGTAAACAATAAACATATTTGTATTCATATATAAAATCAAATCACAAACATAGAGAAGAGATAAATAAATTTAAGTATCGATTTGTAATGGGAGTGAAAAGTGGTGGGCGATAGTGGTGGTGGAAAGATACGATAATGATTGTGGTGGGTGGCAATGACNTATTCTTAACTAGTTTCTCATAAAACTAGATACACAATCAATATAGTAAAAAAATATATTTTTGTGTATTTTTAAAAAAAAAATTTTATTTTTTAGGAAAATACATCCGNGATACGATAATGATTGTGGTGGGTGGCAATGACCGTGGTGGCGGTGGTGGTTGTGGCAGTGGTGGCGGCAATTGTGGAGGTGGTGATGACGGCAACGACAGCGGTGGTGGTAGTAGAAGTAGTANATTTCTTTTTCGTGGAGAAAAAAAATCCCATAATTTTTTTTTTTTTTTTGCATTTTAAAATACTTTTTCCTTGCCAAATCAATCATACCACACATGATTTAGGTTAGTTGGGAAGNGTTTCAAATACTATTTTTTTTTAAAGTATTTATGAGAAATAATTTCTAAAAGTACTTTTAAAAAGTCACTCTAAATACACTCTTAGACCCNTAAATAAACTCTTAGACCCTATTTTTTTTATTAAATTTAAGGTATTAATATTAGCTGTTAGATTAATTTTAAAATAAAATTTAAATCGATCTCAACCGCGAATAGTTTTTGTTTATCTTTTAAAATTTGAATTNAGGGCCTTGAGAGGCCTTCCCTATCCTTTTTTTTGTTATGAATTTTGATTTTTTTTTATTGAAATATATAGATACTAGTTATTGTCTGTGTCTAAAGGCACAAAGTAATAAAAAATGGTAAATAATAAACATATTTGTATTCATATTTAAAATCAAATCATAAATNATCATACCACACATGATTTAGGTTAGTTGGGAAGGGCCTTGAGAGGCCTTCCCTATCCTTTTTTTTGTTATGAATTTTGATTTTTTTTTTATTGAAATATATAGATACTAGTTATTGCCTGTGTCTAAAGGCACAAAGTAATAAAAAATGGTAAATAATAAACATATTTGTATTCATATTCAAAATTAAATCACAAACATAGAGAAAAGATAAAATAATTTAAACATCAATTTATAGTGGGGGTGAGAGGTCGTGAGCGGCAGTAGTGGTGGTAGGAGACGGTGATGGTTGTGGTGGATGACAATGACCGTGGTGGCGTTGGTGGCTGCGAGGGCGGCAGCGATGGTGGTGGTGGAGGCGGTGACTATGGCGGTGGTGGTGATGTAGTGGCGGTGACGGTGGTGGTGATGTAGTGGCGGTGGTGGTGGCGGTAGTAGCGGTGGTGGTGGTGGTGGTGAAAATTGTGGTGTTGGTGGTGGTTGTGGCGATGACGGTGGTGGTGACAGTAGCGGTGGTGATGATGGTGGTGGTGGTGGTGGCGATGGTGGTGATGGTGGTGGCGACGACGGTGGTGGTGGCGACGGTGGCGGTAGTGGTGGTGGTGACTGTGGCAGTGGCGGTGGTAATGGTAGTGGTAGTGGGGGTGGGGGGTGGTAGAGGTAGTGGTAGGGCGGTTTCAAACACTATTTTTTTTTAAAGTATTTNTGGTGGTGGGGGGTGGGGGTGGTAGAGGTAGTGGTAGGGCGGTTTCAAACACTATTTTTTTTTAAAGTATTTATGAGAAATAATTTCTAAAAGTACTTTTAAAAAGTCACTCCAAACACACCTTTAGGCCCTTATTTTTCTTATTAAATTTAGGGTGTTAATGTTAGCCGTTAGATTAACTTTAAAGTAAAATTTAAAGAGATCTCAACTAGAAATAGTAAAAGTCATTTTATTTATCTTTTGAGTTTTAAATTGTAAGCTACTTTATTATATACTAGTTATTGCATGTGCCTGAAGGCACATAGTAATTAAAAATGGTAAACAATAAATATATTTGTATTCATATTTAAAATCAAATCACAAACATAGAGAAGAGATAAATAAATTTAAGTATCGATTTGTAATGNTTTTATTGAAATATATAGATACTAGTTATTGTCTGTGTCTAAAGGCACAAAGTAATAAAAAATGGTAAATAATAAACATATTTGTATTCATATTTAAAATCAAATCATAAATATAGAGAAAAGATAAAATAATTTAAACATCAATTTATAGTGGGGGTGAGAGGTCGTGAGCGGCAGTAGTGGTGGTAGGAGACGGTGATGGTTGTGGTGGATGACAATGACCGTGGTGGCGTTGGTGGCTGCGAGGGCGGCAGCGATGGTGGTGGTGGAGGCGGTGACTATGGCGGTGGTGGTGATGTAGTGGCGGTGACGGTGGNAGACCCTATTTTTTCTATTAAATTTAAGGTATTAATATTAGCTGTTAGATTAATTTTAAAATAAAATTTAAATCAATTTCAACCGCGAATAACTTTTGTTTATATTTTAAAATTTGAATTGTAAGCTACTTTATTATATATATATATATTCAATCATATTATCTCAAATGTCATTAAAAAATTACATCTTCTTTAACTTNAATTTGAATTGTAAGTTAATTTATTATATATATATATATATATATATATATATATATATATATATTCAATCATATTATATCAAATGTCATTAAAAAATTACATCTTCTTTAACTCTCCACTGTATATTCATTCATCCAATTAAACTGATATTTTTAATTAACGAGTAATTACAAATATTCGATGCTTACTTTGTACAGTAAAAAAGATGTTCAAAAAAGTAAATAACTGTTATCCTTTTCATAATTTGGAGGCAATTCTGTCTGTTCCACGGAAAGGCATGTCTTAAGAAAGACAAGACAGGGGACCCAGTTTAGTAAATGAAGGACGGCCAGGGAAGACAAATGCAAACGCACATAACTATCAGCCTTAATTAAGAGAAAGCTAACTGCATTCGATTGTGACACCTTTGTTGAATTTTCAAAAGATAATAGTGAAAGCAATGAATGATCAATGAAAAAGAACATTCAATTAAGGAAACTTTCAAATCTCTCACTAACTTCTTGTGGGGGCAGAGTTAGTATTATGTCTCAGTGGGGAAAGAAATATAAATAAAAAATTAATTTATTGACATACAAAATTCTCTACCTTCTCCACTGATTAGGATTAAATTGCCCGTAAATTATGCCCAATTTTTAAAATTCAGCTATGAGAAATATATTACGATCCAAAACATAATTGCTATACAAAAATCTCAACCCAAATCAATTTAGCATTTAAAAAAATATGAACACAATAATTTTTTTTGTNCTACCTTCTCCACTGATTAGGATTAAATTGCCCGTAAATTATGCCCAATTTTTAAAATTCAGCTATGAGAAATATATTACGATCCAAAACATAATTGCTATACAAAAATCTCAACCCAAATCAATTTAGCATTTAAAAAAATATGAACAAACAAAAAACAATATTTTTTTTTGCGGCACACTTCAACTCAATCATATATTAAAGAAAAATACAGCAATATTGTTTAAAATCTTAAGAATCATCTAAAATGAATCAATTGTATGATAAATTTCTAGCAATTTCTTTTTAATCTTATTGAGAAATTGATTTTTGTAGAAGGGTTATGTTGTTCTAAATCTTAAGAATGTCTATAATTAATCAATTCTGTGATAAATTTGTAAGTATTTTTTTTAATCTTGTTGAGAAATTGATATTTTTGGAAAGACTTAAATGCTTTTGGGGTAGTATAACTTATCATTTATCTCTATTCGTATGTTATTATAAAATAATTTTAAAAAATAAGAGAAAGTATATTAAATAAGAGAGATATTGTATGTGACTAATATCCANATAAAATAATTTTAAAAAATAAGAGAAAGTATATTAAATAAGAGAGATATTGTATGTGACTGATGAATTAATGAATCACACATCTATTTAGTTTCATAACAAAAACACTTCTTTTAGTAGATTAGGAGAACAAATGGACCATTAACTTATTGAAGACAAACAAGATTAGGACCACTATTCATATTTGCAAAAAGTTAAGGGGGGCAATGAGATAAATTGAATATAACTTTCTTACCAACAATTTATATAGTTAACTCCTCAAAAGACTGCCCCCACACTAATACATGTAGCGCTTCCTCTAAGCTTGGAGTACATGTCTAGGTGATGGATGCAAATATATCACCTCGGGATCTACCAACTGCATACCAAAAGGGTGGCTTAACATACGAGCCTCTCGTCAATATCAGAGTGATCTACAAGCCTCCTCTTAATGTGGAGTCTGAAGAAGACAAAATATTCATGATCTTATTTCTGAACGTAAAGAGATTATTTCTCCAACCAACTAGATATGGTATGAGTTAAATCCCATAGTTCTCCAAATCCTACTGTAGATGTGAAATACTAGTGAAATCTCTCTCCTCAATCCTCCCTTTCTCCCATGAACCAAAAATCATGGGGTAGTGAGAATGTAGAGATCTTGAAACACCCCCAGTCTCTCCCTCCTACTACAATTTTCCTTAAATTGCACTTCCTTCATCAGAATAATAAGGAGAGAGCTTGCCATCCTTCTTTCCAATCTTGGGCTTGTTATCTGCCCCTGCTTCTTGCAGCAGTTTAACCACTCTTCGCATTGAAGGGCGATTAATTGGAAGAGGGCCAACGCAAAGTACACCAATATCAAGAACCCTGCAAATTTGTTCCTTGAAACTGGAATCGAGATTGGGATCGAGTACATGATCAACTCCTTTCTGGTCTAAGGTGATGCAGACCCATTTGGCCAAGTCTTTCTCCCCAAATTCTGGGTCTATGGGGCGTCTCCCGGTCACCAGCTCGAGAATGACAACTCCAAAGCTATAAATATCACTCTTCTCATTCACTCGAAGCGTATAAGCATATTCTGCAGTGGATTTATGATCAAACAGAAAAGCTTTGTTAAAATTTCACACACCAATAGATGTCAAACAAAACAATCAAATTGTTTTGCTGAGAGAATGTCAATGTTGATGACAAAGGTCCAGTACATAAACGTGGATTCAAAAGGGGGAAAAAAAGAGTAAATGGTAAATGGCATACAAGAACGAATCCCATGATATGCATATAAAATCTCCGATTGACCTAAGCTTACATCAATTTCGGAAAGGGGAAATGATCAGTGCACTATGCAGTGTTAACAGATTTCTAATAATGGGAAGAAGGATTGTGAAAATANATCAATTTCGGAAAGGGGAAATGATCAGTGCACTATGCAGTGTTAACAGATTTCTAATAATGGGAAGAAGGATTGTGAAAATATACATTTCAATTCAACTCAAAGAGAATATCAGAAACCTATCTGAAGATTCATGGACTATCTAATTTCATGATACACAGCAAAGGAAAAAGATTTGCATCAGGTTAGTGAATCAAATTGGCAGTAAATTCAGATCAATATGGCAGATATACTAAAACATAAGTGATCACGTAATGGACTAGCCATACCTGGTGCAATGTAACCNTTTATGATCAAACAGAAAAGCTTTGTTAAAATTTCACACACCAATAGATGTCAAACAAAACAATCAAATTGTTTTGCTGAGAGAATGTCAATGTTGATGACAAAGGTCCAGTACATAAACGTGGATTCAAAAGGGGGAAAAAAAGAGTAAATGGTAAATGGCATACAAGAACGAATCCCATGATATGCATATAAAATCTCCGATTGACCTAAGCTTACATCAATTTCGGAAAGGGGAAATGATCAGTGCACTATGCAGTGTTAACAGATTTCTAATAATGGGAAGAAGGATTGTGAAAATACACATTTCAATTCAACTCAAAGACAATATCAGAAACCTATCTGAAGATTCATGGACTATCTAAGTTCATGATACACAGCAAACGAAAAAGATTTGCATCAGGTTAGTGAATCAAATTGGCAGTAAATTCAGATCAATATGGCAGATATACTAAAACATAAGTGATCACGTAATGGACTAGCCATACCTGGTGCAATGTAACCACAAGAACCAGCAATTCCAGACATGAATTCTTCCCCCCTCTTGACTGCTTCAACAAACTTAGCAACTCCAAAATCTGCAATTCTTGCTGCAAACTCTCCATCCAACAATATATTGTTCGATTTGACATCCCTGTGAACGATTGGAGGAACACAATCATGGTGCAAATAAGAAAGCCCCTCAGCTGCATCCAGCACTATCCTAAATCTTGTAGGCCAATCCAACAATGCACCCTTGCTATGCAACAAATCACCTAAGCTCCCATTTGGCATATACTCATATACCAAAAGTTTGCAATTCCCAGAGTTGCAACAACACCATAATCTGACTATATTCTTGTGCCTAATTTTTCCCAGTGTCTCAACTTCTACTTTAAACTCATCTTTGGCAGAGTCAGCGCTTTCAAAACTTGTGTCGTCTTTATTTGACCTTTCCCAGAGCTTCTTCACGGCAACTACCTCACCATTACTCAGCACAACTTTATAAACTTTCCCAGATGCTCCACTTCCGATAACATTATCTTCATTGAGGCAATCGAAAATTTCAAATTCACTAAATCCCAACTTATGAAATGATCTCCACTTTNACCATTACTCAGCACAACTTTATAAACTTTCCCAGATGCTCCACTTCCGATAACATTTTCTTCATTGAGGCAATCGAAAATTTCAAATTCACTAAATCCCAACTTATGAAATGATCTCCACTTTGACAAAATGATTCCTTCCCTCGATTCCTTGATATTCCAGTACTTCCAAACGAACCAAACTACCCCAACAATCAAAACTGTACCAGTGACTGCAAAAATCAATCCAAGTATCCACACATAACCTTGATTCCTATCTCTAACTTGTGGAGGACAAAGACCAGCAAGATCATCACACAAGCCTGGATTGCCCACGAAACTGTTTCTATAAACTTCCTGAGCATAAAGAGGAGGAATTTTACCCGAAAGTCTATTGCTTGACAAATTTAGCTTACTAAGCTTCAAGTTCTGCAGGCCCAATGGAATTTTTCCCGAAAAATAATTCCCAGAAAGATCAAGGTAATTTAGCCCTGGCAATCTCCCAATATCATCCGGGATTTCCCCGGACAACCTATTGTTTGCCAAATTAAGCTCATTGAGATGGTTCAGAGATTGAATTCCAACCGGAATTCCTTCGGATAGCTCATTGTTACTTAAATCAAGCTTTCCTAGTTGACTCAATTGGACTAATGGACCAGGAATTTCTCCACTAAACTCATTTTCATTAGCAGAAAACTCAATCAAACTTCCCAATAATCCAATCTCATCAGGAATGGACCCTGAAAATTTATTTTTTGAAATCATGAGGATTGAAAGATTTCTTGCACCAGATATCATATGGGAAATATTCCCAGAAAATGAATTGTTAAAAAGATCAAGCAGGTACACATGTGGCAAACCCCAGAATTCAGCCGGAACTTCCCCAAAAAGCCGGTTGCTCCTCAACCGGACCCGGCTCAAGCTTCGGCATTTACCAAGACCCACCGGAATATTCCCCGAGAATAAATTATCTATCATAACAAGCTCTACTAAAGCCCATTTTGCACACAAATTCTCTGGAATTTCACCCGAAAACATATTTTCTGATACATCAAGGATTTGTAGCGGAGAGTTCACACCGAGTTGACTCGGCAATGACCCAGTGAGTTGATTATTAAACAGTTTGAATTCCTGCAAGTTCGGGGACTTAGCTATGCTCTCTGGGACCAAACCCACGAGTTGGTTCTCCTGTAGATTGAGTGACTCCAATGGTAATTCACACAAATCGTCCGGAATCGTCCCGGTTAGCTTGTTCGTCGACGCGTCGAAACGTCTCAACGCCGTCAAGTTTGACCATCCCGCTGGTAAAGTTCCGGTGAACGAGTTTTGATACAGCTCAATCTGTACAACATTTTTGAGCTGAAAAATCAAATTGGGTATTGACCCAGTGAGCTGATTGATTGACACGTCCAAATTAGTCAGGCTGCTCAGTTTAGCAAAACTCTCCGGAATCTCACCAACTAGATTACACCCAGCAAGCCAGAGGTATTCAAGATTAGTCAAGTTACCGAGTTCCGGAGCGAGGCGACTCGGTGCAAACGGGTTGTAAGCTAGTTGAAGCCATTTGAGACTTGTTATATTCCCAAGAACCGCCGAGACTGTACCACTTAGGAGATTTTCAGAGAGAATGAGAGTTTCAAGTTGCTGGAAATTCCCTAAACTTGCCGGAATGTCACCGGAAAAATTGTTGCCATCCAGGTTGAGGTACCTGTAATATGAGTCAAACAAATATACTCTATATAAAAAGAGATATAAAAATAAAATCATAGAAACATAGAGTTTCTTGAAATTATCTATCAACTGGTCAACAGATTTTTGGCAAAGTGTACATATACCAAAAAATGAGCGATCGCTACTACTGATATTTAATTTGGTGAGTACATACCTGAGGTTGGGGAGATCGGAGAGAGTGGGAGGAATGGGGCCCACGAGGAGGTTTTGGGAGAGGTCGAGGAGGGTAAGATTTTGACAGGTGGAGATGGTGGCCGGCAGCATGTTGATGGAGTTGTTGGAGAGAGAGATTGAGGAGAGAGAACGGAGGCGGCAGAGGAAGGACGGGAAGGGACCAGAGAGAGAGGCAGTGGTGAGATTGACTGAAACAACGGAGGAAGACGGCGAATTGTCGCAGGTGATGCCGGTCCAGTTGCATGGTGTGGCGTCACGGTCGGACCAGGTGGAGAGTGAGCCGGTTGGGTCGGAGAGAGATTGCTTGACTCTTTGGAGGTAGAGGCCTTCTTGGTTTAGAGAGAGACAGAGAGGTAAAGACAGAGTTAGAGAGAGGAAGAGAAGAATGAGGAAGTTTTGCAAATTTCCCATGTAGAGAAGCGAGAGTGAGAGAGAAATGTGCATGCTTGAATGGAGAAGAGAGAGAGAGAACTGCGTAGTTATTGCGGTTACAATGGGGAATGGGATAGAATGGAAGAAAGGCGTTGGGATTTGTAATTCAGTTGCAGTTGGAGGAGAGAGAAAAGTGTAGCAGGAGAAGAAGGGATTTAGATTTAGAATAGAATATGGGTAATTAATTGGATTCAGTTGAGGAGTGGGTGGGAGAGAATGCAAGAGAAACATGTTGTACTGTTGTGTTGTTTCTGGTATTTGGAAGTCGTTAATTTCAAATTCTAACAATTTCTATCAACTTTATTACGTATTTGGAATAACTTATAAAATGAAAAAAATATTTTTAAATAAATATCATTTGGATGTTTAAATAAAAAAACACTCAAATAAAATGCCTTTTATCAAAAAGTGCATTTGAATTATCAGTTACAAAATATTTATTTATACCTCAATTTTTAATATATCTTCAAAATAAATATTAAAAATTGAGTGGTGGTAGCGGTGAGTGATGGTGGTGGCAACAGTAGGGTGATGGTGATTAATGGTGCTCGGATTTTAGGGCCCAAGCCCGATTATGATGGGATGGCATTACGAAATGACTTTGCAGATTATGGATTTGTGATTAGTTAGACTAAGAATATAAGTAGTTCACCTTAGCCAAAGGACTAAGACTACGTCCACTATTAACGAAGTTTCTTACTCGCTGAATTTATATATTCATCGGTTGACGAAATGCCTCTAGTAATTTGGGGACTCGCGGTCCACTTACAAAGGATAAGGGGTTAGGTATTCTCTCTTAGTTTTCTGCATTATTTGGCTTCTTAGCACTCACTGATCTTTTTTT